ACAACAAAAACTCAGTAAAAAAAATTGGCATGAAAGAATGTTTAGAACACTTCTAATTTTCAGAAGAAATGTTTCCATTCAGCCTTGTCAGTTTCACCTTCTGGTTTTGTTGAGCTAACCAGTTTTAATGGTGCAAATGGAGGGATGTGCAAAGAGCCAGCCTCAAATCAGGGAGAGTAATCGAGAGGTTTTATAGTAAAGTGTGGGCCAGGGTGTGTACATTCTGGAATTACATATACAGTTAACTTGGCACAAAGCTTTTCACCTCCATGTGTTTATGTTCTGGCTCTTGGAAACAGACTCATTAACAGTTATTAGCAAACAATGGGCTCATCTAACAAGGAGCTAAACCACTTGTTTAGCTACACTTGGGCAAACTCCTACTGTAGACATGCTGCACCAGTGCAAGGCATGACTTGTGCTAGTACAAGTATGTCACACCTTCGGAATCTGATAAGAGTTTGGGCTGAAGCTGGTGCTGAAAGCAGGAAAAATACTTACCTTGCCTTCCAAGCCAGGTACTGAAGGGGATTATTAAATTTAGGACCTGTTTTTTAAAGGTCTTTAGACACTGAGGGAGATTTTCCAAAATGGCTACGCACCTAACTTACTAAAAATCAATGGGAGTTGTATGCTTTTGAAAGCCTCACTAGGTTGCTTATCTTCATCTGTAGGCACCTAAATACAGTAACTCCCCACTTAAAGTTGTCCCCTTTAACATTGTTCATTGCTGATCAATTAGGGAATGTGCTCGTTTAAAGTTGTGCAATGCTCCCTTCTAATGTTGTTTGGCAGCTGCCTGCTTTGTCCACTGCTTGCAGGAAGAGCAGCCTGTTGCAGCTAGCTGGTGGGACTTGGAACCAGGGTGGACCAGCAGCCCCCCTATTAGCTCCCCCTATCAGTTCCCCACTCCCCTAAGTTCCCTGTGCAGCAGCTGCCCAGCAGGTTACCAATTGCAGCTGTCCCTCCCATCACTGCCATGTGCTGCTCCTGCCCTCTGCCTTGGAGCTGCTCTCTGAGACTCCTGCTTGCTGTGCAGGGGGGAGGGAAGCAAGAGGGGGCTAATGTCAGAGTGTCCCCCTCTCCCCTGCACCCCACTTAACCCATCTTCCATAAATCAGAGGGGATTCAACAGGCTCAGGACAGGAAGCTTGCTGTCAGGAGCAGCTGTGGTCTCAACAAGCTGATCTAATTAACAAGGCAGTGTACTTAAAGGGGAAATGCGCCTCTCACACACAGTGAGAGTGTCTGCGATGCTCTCCCCTCCCTCCATTCCTGCTGCCTTGTAGACTGAGTTAACCCTTGAGGGCTCAGCCAATTGCTAGTTCATCATTTAGCAGTAAAGCATTCCCTGGGAAATATCCCACCCTCTGACTCCTCCACCTCAACCAAGCTTCACAATAATCATCACTGTGTACCAGTATTAAACTGTTTAAAAAACTTATACTGTGTGTATACAATATAATCTAGTCTTGTCTGGTGACAGATTCCCTGGAAACTAACCCCCTCGTTTACATTCATTCTTATGGGGAAATTGGATTCACTTATTTTGCTTAAAGCTCCATTTTTCAGGATCATAACTACAACATTAAGTGAGGAGTTACTGTACCTTTCAACATCTGGCTAGTAGTGCCTGTCTGTTTTTAGTCAATTTCACCTGGGCTAGGTTACTTTTGATTTATGCCACCTCCCACTCCACTCTTTCAGCAGGTGAGTGGAGGGTCTTTGATGGAGGATACTGGGGAGGCAGTCAGTGATTGATAGGCAGGAGAGTGCTTTATTGTTTTGACAGAGCAGGAAGAGTAGGTGCTCTTTTTCTGTCTCTACTGTGGGGCACCAGGGAGGAGACAAAACAAAGAATATCGGCCCTATTGTGTTCAACTTCCTTTCCTTAGAAGGGAAGATTGTTCAAAGCTCATGGCCAATTTAAGATGTGGGTGCATGATCTAGCAGGCCAGTTCTGTAGCTGTTTATGCTACTTTAGCTCCTGTCTATGCCCCACCTTAAAGACAGAGGCCTGACTGAAGAGATTCTCAGAGGGACTCTGAATAAGGAAGTGAGACAGACCGCCTTCTGTCTCAAGGCATATGCTCCTAATCACAATTCCCCAGTAAAGAGTACTACAGCTGGAGCATCACTTCTACCAACAAAACAACAATTACCAACTGGTGGCCAGAGCTATGAAGGAACCTGCCCCCATAGGGAGCAATTGGGATCATAAGCTGCTTGGTCTGAAAGATGGAACACGAAGTAGGATGGTACAACAAAGTTAATCACAGTTCTTAGCCAGTTCCCCTTACCTCATAGGGGCAGCTTGGGCCATGGGTGTCTTCACACTGCATGGTACTGCTTCCCCAAATTTCTTCTAACCTGTTGAGTATTTCAAAAAAATGTTTTATATTATATTATCCACTGTATTCTTCCCTCTACAAAGGATGCTGGTGTTTGGGGTGGGGCACTGGAGGAAGGAAATAGAGTAAAAACCTTTCCTCCTTACTGTCTAACCTAGTCTGGTTCCCCACCCCCTCCAAATAAGGTTACAAGACCCTGCAGAAGACTGGAGCACCTTCAATACCCCAGTGGGAGAGAGCCTACTCATCTGAACCTCATGCAGCTACAATTGACTGTACAAGGGATGGTTTTCTTTATTCAACTAAATTCCCTGGGAGGAAGTGACAATCCAGGCTCATACTGCAGATCAGGGCAGGGATGGATTTTCAAAGGCATAAAGCAGAGTAGGATGCCTACCTGCCCTTTGTGCCTTCGGAAAACAGGTGGCTGTTATGGGCTGCTCTAGGAGCACTAACTTTTTTTTAATTTTAAATCATTTATCTTTGGGTCTGTGTGGCAGTGCCAGCACACTGCATCTCCTAGCAGGGTGGATAGTTGGGGTGCTGATACCATACAGTTACAGGTCTACCAGACTGTCTTGGGCATCACCATGATGAGGTCCAATGGTCAGAGTCCCTACCACAGCCCACAGGTGCAGGGCAATATGGACTAGCAGCTAGATCCAGGGGCCAACACCAGATCAGGTAGCAGCCAGGGTAGGGGGACCCAGGCCCACCTGACTCCACTGGGTCCCAACCCAGTGCCCTAACAATGGCACAGTAGTCCACCACTAGGTCAGTAGATAATCCAACCTCAACATGCTAACATTAGATGGGTGGGAGACACCACTCACTCACCCTCCCTGGGTCACTTCCTACCAGGCTCCTGAAGCTGCAGTCCACAGGGGTCTCTAGGCTCCTCAGCACAACCCTAGAACTTGAATAGCAATAGGTCTCTGGTCTAGATCTCAGGCACTCCAGGTGCTACACTATAACCTCAACCAGATATCCTTCCTCCTTTGCAGTCAGACCAGAGTGAGCTGAGCTGCTCTCCTTTTATACTAGCACAGCATTTGGAGCATGCCCAGCACGGTCTGAGGGGCGGGGCTTCCTCTGCCTATAGTGGGGGATTAACCCTTTCCTGCCTAGTGCAGGGTATGCACACCCCGTCACAGCCGGTAACCTGCAAAGATCAAAATTCAGCCAACAATCAGAGGCCTGGATTCAGTGAGATGGGACAGCAATACTTCAATTTCCTAATCCAGACAGTACAAATAGCTGTTGAAATCAGAGCGATTATTAAAGATATGATCCCTCCATTACAGCAGCTGGTGCTTTAAATGCACCTAGCTTTAGGTAACTATTAGTATGGATACAGATGGGAAGACTTTCAGGGGCCTATGGTGCAATTCTCTAAACAAAAGCTCTGAGGAGGGCTGAAGTGCTTGGTACTAATGGATAACTGAGTATTGAGGAAAATGGGTGGATGGTGTATTTTATGAGAATTGAACAGATATGAGCTAACTGGAGGGTTTGGATGGTGGTCCATAAAGGGAGACTGGTGGGGTGATACCCTCTTTTTGACTGATGTGTAAAGGCAGTCTGATAGGTTTTTCGAAATTTCTGTTTGTATGGTGTTTTCTAATCTGCTATACAGCTCTCCTGTCCTGTAAGAATCTCTACATTGAGCAGAGGGCTCAACTAACCCAGCCCAAGTGAAATTGACTGGAAACAGACAGGCACTATATGATAATGGCATCATAAGCACCAAAGAAGTGAAATCCAAGGAACAGAGAAATGAAGGGATTTTTGTAATAGGTAGTGAACAGAAATGCTGCTTGAACAGTTGGGAGAAAAGGTCTCTAAATAGTCCCCCAGGCTGCAGTTTGCTGCTCCTCCCAGGAGACTGCCATCAAAACCAGACTTTATTTTTAAGTTAAAACTCTGTAAAAAGGGGTTTTCTGAGGGCACGAGGGGAACTTTCAGGCATGATTTACCTAACATTTTGCCACTGTCCTTGCTGACGGGTCTCAGAAAGCCCAGCTCGGCATCTGAGTTACACTGCGTTACTAGTAACCTGTAAAGATATGCCAGCTCCAACCGTGTCCAACTGCTGCCCCCATTTTGGCTGGGCACTGAAGATAGGTTCTAAAAACCCCTGCCCATTAGTCTAAGGTAACACATCAGCTAGAAAAAATTAATTGCTAAGCACATGTTAAGCACCTATCTGGTGGTCATCACTAGGGTGTTTGCAGATGCAGGAAGTGGGGCAGTTATTCTGTATCATGTAATGTTCAAATGTTAGCAGGCATCCAATCTGGAAAAATCATAAAATCACTAAAAGGGCCATAACTCGAAGAAACAGTCTAATTTTCACCCAAATCAGCCGAAATTTTTGAAATACAATTGACGATGCAACTATGTAATCAAAATAGTCCTGTTTTGGAAAGTGTGGGAACTATTTAGCCCCAGGGGATATGTTTTGTGCATTTTCCTGTCCTTGTTTGTCTTCGGTTAAAGCAGAAGTCTGTAGTCGCACGACAGTATGAGTTTGTTTGTACCATGTAATACATCAACATATCTGTCATTATTTGCAGAATGGACTGAATGGAGGAGTTTTTCTGTCTGCTATTTTATATTTTATGAATATTGGCTACTGTGCAATGATTCCTGCACCGGCAACTGATGTTAATACAACGTACACCAGGATGAAATATTTTCAGGATATGTTCCACTCTCTGAGCCAAGACTGGACTTATGTCGTGCATGACGAAGCAATCTACTGCAAAGCACAGTTGATTAAATGGAGGAATCAAACCGAATTTGACAGTGACCCCTTTGAGATGGGAGGCGTGCATCATACAGTGAATTTCCTGGGTGACATTGGCAGTGTGATACAGGAAAGTGGATTTGAAGACCTCCTTGTGGAAGCCAACATCTACGGTGCTTCATCATCTGCCATGCTGTAAGAGGAAAAGCACATAACCCTGGCATTAGAATCCACAACCCTATGAATGAAGCAATGAATTGCTTGAAATAGGTGGCACTTGGCAGTTCCATGAACAGTCGTTCTCCCAGAAAATGAGAAGAGACGCATCTTGGAGAAACCTTGACCTTGCACTGAAGCATTTGAAGAGGTGGGCAAGGCACACAGAGAAAAGAGTGTGGAAGCACAGAATGCTCTGGCAGACTTCATGAACAGAACCCAATCACTCCCCCAGTGCATGGACACTTAGGTTACCGAAGGGAAACACTGCTGAGATAAATTTCTGCTCTGGGAAAACTAGGTAATGGATGTTGCCCAACTACTGCGGGATAACACTGCAGCACACAGAGATGATAACAAGTTCATGTAGTCTGAGACACTGGAAGAGAGGATTGCACTTGATTTGCTGTGTGGTCATGTGAATTATGCTAGATGGGGCTATGTAAAATGTAGCAGAAGCCAGACTTCTGGAGAAGGAGAAGCCAGATATATATAATGACCTACTTGATAGGGTGCAGTATGCCAGACTGCCAGACCCTTTAGTGCTGTATGGCATGACATGGCCATGGAGCAATCTCTCAACAAGAACTATGGGAAGCATCAGCATCTTTGCACAGTGTGGTTGACGCCATGTTGGTCCCAGGATATAACAGGTGGATGAGGTAATATCTTTTATTGAATCAACGTCTCTTGGTGAAAGAGAGACGCTTTTGAGCTACCCCGCTCTCTGGGTCTTAGTGATGTCTCTGTGGTACGAACTGAGCATGCCCACTCTCAGCAACCCGTCTCCTCTGGTCTCAGGGCTATAGGATGGTGGCATGCCTGTACTCAGCTCCCTTACAATCAAAGTGCTCTTTGCCTGTAATATGGACCAAATACACCCTTTCTCAGCTCCTCTCTGTCTCAGCATTGTGGACCAGACCCACAAAAGGGTATAGATGTAGCAACCTCACAATTGCCATGGCTTCTAGATGCCTAGAAAATTATTGAAACAACAATGGGATTCCCAGTGCCTCAGTTAGGTGCTTGGGCTCTGTCTTGGAAGAAGGGCCAGAGACAGGTACCAAAGAATGGGATAAACAAAAACAATAAGGACAGGCACAAAACTGCCTAAGTTAGCCACTGGGAGATGCTGAGAAAAGGGGTGGTGCTAAGCCCTGACCCTTTTAGGAAGTTTGGGACCTAGATCTACTTGCAATCTGCAGCCAGGAATCCCTCCTGGAGTAAGCTGACTTAGGTGCATGAACCATTTTGTGTGAGATTGCTATATACCTGCCTAAGACCCCAAAAACAGATGTGAGCAGGAGGAGGCGGCACGGGACTTCTGTGTAGCTTTTAGTGCAATGCTGAGGGTCCTTATCTGTGCCGTGGGGGACCCTGCTGCAAATCCCCCCTGTGCCTGTGCTAAGAAGAGATGTGGACAGGGGGGAAATGCAGGCCTGGTGAGTGTTCCCTGCTTTTGCGGATACTGCCCGGGAGTGGAGGGGGGCGGCTACCCTCTTGCTTGTGGAAGCTGTTCCACTTTAATTAAAGGGTTGCTCGAGCCAAAGCTGCCAGGCTTCCCTCTGTAGGTTGATGGTTAGAGTGCGTGCTTGGGGTGGAGGGAGGTGTGAGTTCAAATCTCTCCTGGTGCGTGTGCGCTTGTCTTTCCCAGGTAGCCTTGGGGGGG